AGCGGACAGCGGTACAGCGCTCTGTGCCGACAACGCCCACTGTGTCAACGTTCCCGGAAGCTTCTACTGCGTCTGCAACGACGGATACACCGGAAACGGATACGAGCGCTGCGAAGGTGAGTCCGAAAATCCATATACTACCTCACAGGTTTAAGTTTAGACGAAAAACTGGGTCAATTATATATTTAAAGAAAACTCATGCGTGGCCAATTTATTTTCCCCGATATTTATTTGGAGCAACCTTCTAAACATCAAAGTTTTTAGACGCTTCTTCATCGCAGTCTAATTATTCTGGAGAATGTTTGGTCAGACTCCCAAACCTGAGCTTGCACGTCTATAATGCGTACTGTTCGGCATGCCACGAGCACCAGGTTTACACTGGTATGCGAGGATCTGCTGTTTTTGCGCTAGTCGAGGCCACAGAGACACGCAGCCTCTCTTGCACGTAGACAGACGGATGATAGTAATTTGACGCTGATGCGTGAAATACCAGTACGAACAGTCGTATCACCACATAATTCATATGTCCCCCTTAAATCCGCTTACGATCCAAGGTGATGCTAATATCGTGGCGCTAGTTTCTCGGCGTCGGCGTTCACTATTTTATTCGTTATATTAAAATAAAAAATGAAATGAAATCGTCCAACATAATTTTGGACCAATAGACGACAATTATGGCACATGCGTGTAAAAAATGTACTTTATAACAGCCTATCGTACGACTGAGCATTTAAAGCACGCACGTCGGTACCCCACATGTCAATTCCCCTCAGAAATGTTACCATTCATCAGGATCACTTTGATAACTGAAGCATATATAGCAGATGGCGCTCCGGTATCTGTTGCTATGCGACACCGACACAGACGCGCCAAATTTACGAGTCGCGATTCGCGAAATTGGCACGTTGTCATTTAAAAGGCGTAAAACCGTCTCTTCTCACATTTCTCTCTATCGACTACGGATTCCGTTAGTCTATGCGTCACTTATCTCGCTCCGCTTCGTAGATGATGAATGCAGCATGTCGCCTGTGAAGTCACGCGTAAACACGTAATAACAGTGGTTCAGCTAGCGTGGCAGTATATCACACGACCACTGCCACCGTGCGGCCACCGCTTACACAACGTGCCCTGCTATTAAGTTTAGTTACTCCACAGCAATATTTCCCGTGGCCTCATGCCGCGATAAATATTGTATTAATAATAATAATAATAATAATAATAATAATAATAGTAATGCTTTACTGACGAATATCTAGATAGAAAACGCCGAACTGTCCCGCATATGCCATAGAAAACCATCGTAAAACCTTTCTAAATTCCTTTTTAAACAGCCACTGAACTGCGTTAAAATACACAATTAAAAATAACAGCGTGATATCCAGCGCCTAGATATCGCCAAGAGCGTATAAAGAAGCCTTCTTTATACGCTCTTGATATCGCCCATCTATCAACTATCGCCTATAATATACATAATTATAAACGTTCCTAATCTTGACCGCACGCGCTGCTGGTACGGGACAGAATGCGAACTCACTCGCATCTTGCGGTGGGGGGGGGGCTGAGGAGCACATTCCTCTGAAATCCGCATTTCTTTCATTAGAGTCAGATCCTCGCGATGTTAATTGTGTGTTTACATGCGCGAGTGTCTGTCTCGCTAATCCCACCATGACCGGCTAGGGCCAATGATTCCTCTCTGTTAATCCTTAAGGCAGCCTAATGGGGCCACGTTAAATTCGACGGGGGAAACTTTACGAACCGGTATCTCAATGCTTTGTCTGTGTTAAATCTAGCTGTCATCGTTGCCTAGCTATCAGCGCAGAGATGCAGACGCACAGCTTTGCCTAACATTAAAGTCATCCGTGTGTCTGTAATGAGCCATTAAGCTAGCACGCGTCAGCGGTGCGCGTCCCCCATGAATGAATCTTATCCAGAAATGCAGCTAAACTCGCGGCTCTCGCATCGCGCGCTGCCTTTTGCAAAACCGACGGTCGGTATGAGAAATAATTTATAAGCCACACTCGACACCTGACCTGATTCGTCCGCTACAATCATTCGAGGACGGGTAGACACCAGCCATGTCAGCCCCGCGCTTCCTATCAACACAGCCGATCGTATCCGACACCATTAGTCACACTACAGTAATCTCACCTCTATACAAAGAAATCGAGAGTGATAATAAATTAGTACTGCTAGTAATGAGTATAGCTATTATAAATTAAAGCTATATTATATAATTAGGCGGTACTTTGTAAGGGGTTGACGGCGGTAACGTCTTTTTTTCAATAAATAGATTGCCTGTGTTCTGTATCGAACAATGCGTGCCTGTGTGACTGACTGTGTTATGTATATATCTCGAAATATCTCTCACAACATTCCAAAGATCAAGTTTGTCGGAAAGGTTAGACGTGTCTAGGAAAAGTAAACCGATAACAAATGTGCTGGTTTTTATTTTGTTTACCTGATCATCATTCATGACTATTTGTCATCATTTCTCTTTCAGACGTAAACGAGTGCAAGAACAGTCCATGCCACAACATGGCTTATTGCACTAACACGTTAGGCAGCTACTATTGCACGTGTCTTCCTGGATTTATTGACGTCATGGGAGGCGGAATAATGTGCATGGGTAAGTAAATCCAACCAAGTATCTCCTTATAGAGTCTCACAATAATCATATAAGAGATTGTAGCGTAGTTTGCCCTCGTGTTTGCCATTATTCTAAGAGAGTCGAACTAAAACCTCTTCTGGAATTTGGCCTTTCTATCGGCCTAGCCGCTTCTCTCCCTTTTGTCATTTTCTCTTTCTTTCTCCCGTCCATTCTCTCCCCCCGTTAAGATATATGCACGTTTCATGACCTTGGTTTCTACCCGTGTTCTTGTGTTCCCATCGTTCATTTTAAGTTCGCAGTCCGTATAATGCCAAAAGATTGATGAATACTTTTGCGAGCTGTTTACAGCTTCGTTGCCTGCACCAGTTATAATTTGTCTTCAACTTATCGACTCCAAGGACAGACACGATGTACATATCAAGTCTATATTAATCAGTTAGACACTGTGGAAGTCCGCCTCTCTTGTATTCAAATCGGATTTGACATTGGGATTAGTTATATGTAAAAGAGTTTTGTGCATTGTAATTTGGCGTACAGAACAGGTTAGTTGTTTCTATAAGGCGTATTTCTCTGTTTAGATACTGACTTACTACCTGTATTACTACCTGTAGTAATAGGTATAAGCCATGGTCACAGTTGATTATGACATAAGATGGTCACGCTAACTTAAGCTTAGTGTATTTTTTATGAAATTTGGCATTAATGGAATTCAGTCATGCGTATCAAATTAAAAAGATAGGTAAGCCGCGGTAAATTGCCACGATTTTAATAATGATTCCTAGAATAAGATTATGAAATGCCACTGGATATTCAGCAGTATCAATCTGTTATCGCGCTGTGGCAATGATTCTGAAATTATTCCTTTAAAGATAACAAATACGCCGCGTATATACGCACGACTATCCCCTCGACATCTAATAAAATTTGGAAAGAAATGTACGCAGTTACAGACTGCCACCACCATCGCTCGACACCTTAACATAAGCAACGTGCCTGGCTGTGAAAAAACTATATGGAAATGAACTATGAGACGGATGAACCGTTCCACTTGCGACAGTATATATGTCTATGTAGACTAAAACCCTGAAGTATCTAACATAGTGCGACTATGTGTAGTTGGCGAGACGTCTATAAACATTGGTTGGTATTGGTGCGTGGAAGTGCAAACCATAAGCCGTTACCCTTGACGCCCTTCCCTAGTTTTCTGTCAACAGCAGTCCTTTTAGGTCGGGCCTAGCGGGCTGTCCCAGTTTCACTCGCCTTTGGTCACGGCATGTACCCGCACTGTGCAACAGGTTTTTACGGTGTAGAGTCTTAAGGTGTAAAGAATATATCCTCCGCAGGTTCTTTGACAAGTGTAATAATACAAGTGTAATACGCTGTAATAAGCTGCGATTATGGAACATATCCGACTTTCAACTGGACAGGGGGTCAATGATAAGAAACATTGTCACGTGACCTTACGTAAATGAATGAGTGCACATGAACGGGAGAGAGAAAGAGAATGAAGGAATAAGAGAAAGAGAGAAAGACGGAGAGAGTTAGAAGGGGGACATAGAGAGAAAGGGAAAGGATCAGAGAGGAAGATATTGAGCCGTCGGGTCCGTCTAAAGCGAATCGGTGGTTGAGGGGGTCGTAGCTACGCGACCGTGCACGCATACACGTGCGTGCGTGCTGCGTGCGTGAGTGCGTGCAGTGTATGGTTGTTGCGTAACCTCACAGCCGGACGAAATGATTGTTAGCGTGGCGCAACGATTTCTACAGTAAGAATGCGACGTAAATAATAGCTCTGTAAGTGTGAAGGGGGAAGGGGGGATGAGGGGAGGTGTGGAGGGTCACCCATATAGAGGTGTTACCTGACTGGGGGCCGTTGGTGTAGATCCACAAGATTAGTCCTGGTAATGTGAGCCTCAGGGTTCTTTTATCGCTTGGTGCCCGTGTCAGAAAAATCGGTAACTTTACGAAGAGGTTATAGATGTAAGAGTAGTTGCTTTCCCGTCTAACGATGATGTAGCCTGGGCGGGCTTCGTGACATCCGGGTGTGTTGCCACAGTTATAATTATGTCAGTGGTTCTGGCTAGCGCCCCTAGACACGGTGCTCCGTGGTACAAGCAGTATATATATGATATATATATGGACGAGTAGAGCAGGCTATGGACCCACAAATCAGATCGATTTGACATAAGAGGCGAACGCGCACGCACGGACGCACACACGCACGAACGAACGCACCACGCACACAAGCCGTGTACGCATCGCGCAGATATGTACGTACGGCGCGCGCACGCAGGCGTACATCATACTATGGCGACAGCATTCGAACGATAGCTTCTCCGCTACTGACGTCCAGCCACCGTCAACCATTGTGAAAAGCCCACTTAATGAGAAGTGGCACGCGGAAAAATTGGGGGAAGGTCGACTGCTCCTAACAGAACCTGTTAGCAGAAGGCACTATATCGACACCTACTACCGGCTAACTGCAAAATATTCGCCGGCGATTTGTCCATTAGCGCCTTCTCTTCGTATCAGGCCAATTCTGGCAATATCAGCGCCGCCGACTCACACCGCCGCTCTGCGCCCCCTGCTCGCCGATGTCCTAGGCGAATAGCAGCAACCATACGCGAATGCCGTTAGCAGTACCTTCCCTCATTGAGTGCGCTGTTCTATCGCCTCTGCGGTGGTAACCGTAATATAGTCGCGCTACGCCCATTTCACTGTTGCGTGCTTGTAAAGGCGGGTAGGTTTACATCTACGCATTGAAGAAGGTCGCGCACTTACACTAGTATATTACAGTAACACCACCGAAGCTAGCGTAAGACGACAGAGATGAGAGACGAGAGAGGAGAAGAGAGAGATGAGAGAGGAGAGAGAGAGAGAGTAGAGAATGGAAGCGAGCGCGGAGAGCGAGAGAGAGAGAGCGAGAGAGAGTGTGTGAGCGAGCGAGAGAGAAAGGGGAGAGTGAGAGAGAAAGAGAGAGAGAAAGAGAGACAAGGGAGAGTTAGAGAAAGTGAGAAAGAGCGAGAGAGTGAGTGAGCGAAAAGGAAAGGAGAGAGAGAGAGGAGAGAGAGAGAGAGAGAGTAGAGAGAGGGAGAGAGAGCGGAGAGAGCGAGAGCAGAGAGAGAGAAGAGAGAGAGAGAGAGAGAGAGAGAGAGAGAGAGCTAGAGCGAGAGCCGAGAGCGAGACGAGAGCAGAAGAGAGAGTGAGAGAGAGTGACGAGCAGAGAGTAAGAGATGAGAGAGAGAGAGAAAGAGAGAGAGAGGAGGAGAGAGAGAGAAGAAAGTGAGAGAGAGCGAGAGAGCGAAGAGAGAGAGAGCGCGAAGAGAGAGAGAGAGAGAGTCGAGAAAAGCAGAAGAGAGATAAAAAGAGAGAGAGAAAGAGAGAGAGAGAGAGAAGCAGAGAGAGAGAGAGAGAGAGAAGCGAGATAGCGAGACAGAAGAGAGAGATGAAGAGAGAGAGAGAGAGAGAGAGAGAGAGAGAGAGAGAGAGAGAGAGAGGGAGAGAAGCGAGAGAGAGAGAGAGATAAGAGAGCGAGAGCTGAAGACGAGAGCGGAGAAGAGAAGAGAGAGTGAGAGAGGAGTGAGAGAGAAGAGAGAGAGAGAGAGAGATAGAGAGAGAGCGAGAGAGACGAGAAAGAGAGAAGAGAGAGAGAAAGAGAGAGAGAGAGAGAGAGAGATGAGAGAGCGAAGCGAGGAGAGAGAGGAGAGATGAGAGAAGAGAGAGAGAGATAGCCGAGAGAGAGAGAGAGAGAGACGAGACGAGTAAGAGGATGATGAGAGGAGAGAGAAGAGAGATGAGAGAGAGAGAGAGGAGAGAGAGCGCCAGGAGAGAGGAAAGAAGGAAAGGAGATAGAAAGAGAGAGAGAGAAAGAGAGAGAGAAGACGACGAGAGAGAGAGAGAGAGAGTGAGAGAAGTCGAGGAGAGAAAAGGAGAGAGAGAGAGAGGACGAGAGAGAGCGAGAGCGAGAGAAGAGAGAGAGAGAGAGAGAGAGACGCGAACGAGAGAGAGAGACGAGATGAGAGAGAGTGAGAGAGAAGAGAGAGCCGAGAGAGAGAAGAGAGAGTGAAGAGAGGAGAGATGACGAGAGAAGAGAGAAGAGAGAGAGCGCAGAGAAGAGAGAGAGTGAGACGAGAGAGAGAGAGAGAGAAGGAGAGAGAGAGAGAGAGACGAGAGAGAGAGAGGAGAAGAGGAGAGCAGAGAGAGAGTGAAGAGTCGCGGCCGCGCTATACGCGAGCAACGTGAATCTTTGTATGCACGCGTGACAAAACCAGGATAATCCGACCTCCTCACACTTACGATGTCCGGACAATCTTGTCTGCGGCCGCCCTCAGCAAATAGATTACAAAGTTTAGCGACCGGCTGGAGTTTACGGTTTCGACTGCGCCGCCTTACATTGTTCCACCGTCCTATACCGCGGCGTACATAGCTGCATCCTCTACCTCAGTTTTAGTAATAAGACATTGATACATGAACTGCAAGCCTTGCTGAATGTTGTGGGAAGTGGTTTTTCACAATAGGAGGTCTTTACGATTGGTACTCGCGCCGTCTGGATAGTTCACTCCTTGGTTTGGGTTACGGGAGAAATGTTTCGATGAGAAATTACTATGACCGCCATTTTGAAAGACGCTAGCCCTTGGTCAAGCTCTCGTGGCACTCACTTCGAAAAATTTTAGTTTTTTCTGCGAATTCACCTATTGTTATCCGACAACGGCTCACACCGGAAAATTACCTGAAATATGCGAATGACAATAGACCTTGTAAGATAGTAGCGAATAAAAAAAATGAAAACCTAAGCCGCGTAAGATGTTGAAAAGAAAGCTTACACGATGAAACAACCTAACAACACGCTAACACACTCGAGTAAAGTTTTGAAAATTAGCCGTGGCCAAGATATACTACGCAATGCATATATGAGCAGCTCGTGAGCGTACCTGTATGAAACAAGCGCAATCATATCCTCGACCCGACACATGCACTTCATCACACACGAAATATTCGAAATATTTTCGTAAAAAGACACT